ATATGATGACCATGAAAATTTTGAGCTACTAAAATTGAAAGTAGACTACTACCGGATATACTCATCCGCTAGAGTTTGGCACTTCACAAAACGACTATTTTTAGAATTAGCCTTCCGCCTTTAAGTCTCTCATCATCTCACCAAATCTGAAAGATAATGCAATTTCAGACATCAAATTCCAAATCTAGACCAAATTTTACCCAAAAATAGGCAGGCAAAAACCCCAAAAGGGAGAGAGAAAGAAGATTTCTAAAAATAGCCTGGACTAAAATAGGCAGGCAAAAACCCCAAAAGGGAGAGAGAAAGAAGATTTCTAAAAATAGCCTGGACTACATTCCTATACAATCATTTGCATAAAATGTTTTAGTGGAGTGAGTCCATCCGTTTTTGAGGCTTATTTAGAGTTAAATCCCTTTGACAAGGAGCAATTATTGATTTATATTTCCGGTAGTTTCCGTGAACTTCCGGATTATGTAAATGAAGTAGGTCACGTTACCTTATATGGTAAACGTTCAAGAATGCAGAAGTTGACTTTACAACTCTCAAGAATACAGTGGTCGAACTTACATCTTTCACGAATGCAAAGTCAAGAAGACATAGTTGATATTGTCAATAATGCAAAGTTAAAAATTCCTTTTTCCTAAAGGAAAGTTTGAATGGTGTCTGATGTGAAATAAAGTTTGAAAAGTAAACTATCAATATCTCTACTTTGTAATAAGTACATTGACTTTTTGATTTTAAGAAGGTTTATTTTGTAATTGTGTAATGTTGAAATATGACTTTGTAAAGTCGAGGCCTTGTTTTCAAGTTTGACTTTGTGAATACTTTGGCAACGATCCCCCTCTATAAGTTATCAGTATTGTCAGCCAGCAACTGTCCGATAAGCAACTGTCTTACACTCGAACTGCATCCCAAAGTATCAGATAGTGTCATCTAAATAGAGTAAGACATCAAATAATATTAGTAGAACATGAGAAATCAAATGGTACCATGGAACTATGGTGAATACCAGTGAATACCGTAGCATCTAAGGCAGTGTCTAATTTTCGGACTACTAATTACGCCATGTGTTTAAAACAGTTAATTTTTAGTCATCACTCAAAATAGTCCAGATGACAGTCAAATAAACTATTGTTTATAATAATCATCTTTTCATGAGCTGGCAATTAGTAAAATAGGTTAATTATGACACATATAACATCATAATAAAGCTGACTTAATTATTATGATTAAATGCATCTTTTTTTATTTGCCGTTATTAGCATGTTAGAAGGATAATTAAAAATAATCCGGATTTTTTTTTTACATACTATTAATCGTAATTAATTAATGATCCTATAATCTTTACGGTGTCTGTAAAATCTAATGAAAGATAAGTAATTGTCACGATACCCAATTTCGTGTGGAATGTTCCATTTTAGCTTCCTGAATGAACCTTGAAATGAAATGAAGTGAAGTGGAGAATTACGTCTTTCTTTTCTGCAACACTGTTTGAGCTAATGTGGACTGGCAACGCCATGCAGATTGCTTTCTCTTCTCCGAACTCCAACTGTCGAGGGGTTTTTGAAGTACACAGCCTGTAGCACACGGGGCATCAGTTTATTTTGTCATCCGAACGATTAGCCCGTCCGATCTGCATCACTTAAGGAGAAAACTGAGTTGAAAATTCGAGCTTGACCTTTATCGTTAGCCATTGTCCTATTATCTGTTTGGTTTGGTCACGTAGTAGATTTCTGGTCTAGATACTATCAAAAGTATATAAATATAGATCAATATATTTCATGAGTTCTAGATAATATTGGAAGATATGACCGTATTGAACCATTTTGTTCACGTGATCTTTAATGGAAAAAGTCGTCTGCTGTTGTAACATCCTTATGGTCGCGTGCAGTTGAGGTCACCATGCTTTTTGATTATAAAATGTGAGGCATGGCATTGGTTGAATGTCCACCGTATAGTATTATAGAAGAAATAAACAAAACACTTCGGGCTCTATTTACGCCGTGAAATTAGGACAGTAAGGACCTGCGCTTTTAATAGTACAGTTAATCATGACATTAGACATACGGGTAAGTGAATATATACCATACATTTGTCAGACATGGATAATATCGATCGAAGTTAGTTCAACATATAGCTTCATCTTATATAATGTTTGATTTTGATCAATAGATGCTTCTTCATTACATAATTAGACGGGCGTATACCACACACTTATGTGGAACGTCGGGTCTTATATCCGTAGCGACGTGTCGTTAGGTTTTCATTTATAATGTTTGTTAGCTTTATGTGACAATGATCACTTGAATACTCCCAATATTTGAAACACGTGTGTCTAATTAAGACTAGGAAGTGACCACTCTGTAATCATATGGTTGTCGAAGGCGAATCAAAGCCAGTAATAGATGACAATGTTCTTTTGGTTTATACTCTTTGTCGTCAGTCATAATCTACAGAGTAAGCGTAGATTACAGCAAGTGATGAGATGACGACTGTATAGTAATGAGTGTAAAGATGGGCACAGTTCGACCTTTTGCACACATTGCAGTTGTTAGTAGTCGACAGTATCCAATGCGATGCTTGAAACGTCCTAATAGTCTGTATTTTATTCGAGATCTCAAGGACGTGTAACGCCGTGAAGTGCGCAATTAAAAACATGGACATGGGCGGCACACGAAACATTAGTTGAGATCATTGTCCCATCTTAAGATGCTCATCCATACCTGAACTTGCAAAATGATAAGTACCAGCTGTTTGCTTCAGGTAAGAAGAATATAGTATCTATCTCGCAGGCTTAATTCGTCTTAGGCGACCACCCTAAGGCTACATTGCTCACACTCTTATCTTTCTAGTCTTTAGGTAAACCGGGATATAAATTCACGAATTGGGCTACAACATATTCATGTTACCCAGAACTTTACTTCGAGCCAGAAACTACAGACGAAATTCGACAGATATTGGCGTTTGCCCAGAAGAAGGGCAAGAAAGTGAAAGTTGTGGGGAATGGACATTCACCATCAGATTTGGCCTGTACTACAGACTTTATGATCAGTTTAAAGCGATATAACAGAGTTCTACAGGTACTGATATTTTTGTTAATTAAATTGCCCTGCATGATAGGAATCAACATGAATTCAAGATCATAAAATCGCGTTTTGTCATGCACTATATAATATGATAATACAGTTTTAAATTTTTGGTCGCTTATTAGATTACGTAGTCGAACTCGAACCTCGCATGTGTTCATAAGCAAATCCAAGGATAAAGAGATTAACAAAAGGTTATTGACTCTTATTGACCACTAATGAATGGCCTAATAACTTGTGTCAATATCATAAATGTGATGGAAGTCATGGGACGTGTGAACAGAAAAAGCTTTATCAACTATATAATATACATCATATTTGATAAGAAAACTGTTATATTATAGGTCGATAAAGAATCAAGATTAGTACGTGTTCAAGGTGGCTGTCTAATAAAAGATTTAAATGAAAGGATTTTACCGGCCAATGGTTTGGCTTTCACTGTGTAGGTCTTCCTTTCGAACCCCAGTTCCTTTTAATACGGTGGATTATAAAAACCATTTTCAGGACTCAATCCTATCCACGAAATGTCCACGGCATAAGAAGTATCGTGCTGTGTAATAGAAATAATCCAATTGCGGTCATTTTGAGGTTTTTGTTGGTTGATCAATTCAAATTAGACAGAATTAATGACAAGAGGCATGGGAAATGGCATAATGACCACAGACACTGCCATTGTGTCATACGCCAGCTAATCTTGTATGCCCATTTTACGTTTCTACTTACCTGTCAGTAGCTTAAAAAGAAGGATTAGCATTAAAATGGCACTAAGATTGCACATTACACCACCAGTGTGATTTGTAAACTTAACTCATTGATAATTTCAGGCAGGGAACCGTTAGTGATTTAACTGCCGCTGGTGTCATTAGTACAGGCACTCATGGTACTGGACATGATTTCGGGATCATTTCAACATTTGTAAGTAGCCTTTCTTATTGATGAATGTATAATATCGGGTGCTATGACGCCAATAAGATTTCTTTCTAAACTTGTTGTACAATGTATATATGAGTGTCATGTACCCGTAAAACAAGCTTCAAAATAAATTAACAGATTAACAGACATGACTAACTGAAGCCAGCGAAGCTTTAACGGGTGTATCATTCATTTGATGTCCATCGAATAATTAGCTGAACCCAAGAAAAAAAATAGATAAGCAGGACATAAAAAAAAGTAACTTGGTCTAAATGCGCCATTGATTTGCTAAAATGATTCCCTATTTATTGCCAGGTCCGAGAGATCGAACTGATGCAAGCATCTGGAGAAGTATTAACAATATCCAGGGATTTACAGAACACGGATCTATTTCCAGCAGCCTGTGTCTCATTAGGTGCACTTGGTGTTATATTGAGTGTTACATTTAAGTGTGAAGCAGCCTTCAATCTGGAACAGACACAATTCCCCAATTCCCTGAACAATGTAAGATATATGTTATTAACCTTTACTTATTTATATATTTTCTTTTACCTAATAAATGTCGAATTCATCGGTGCAGATACCTTACACACTGAGAAATGCAGAAATTATTTCTGCAACGAAGTATTTAAATTTTTACGGAAGTTAGTTTTTATCGCTGTTTTATGTAATACTGCATATTATAGAGTGGTATTTTGGTCATGCACTCATCATTTATAATTTGATCCGAATTCTGTTCTTGTTTCAGGTATTAGAGAATTTAGACGAATATGTTACTGGATCTGACCATTTCCGCTTCTTCTATTTCCCATATACCAACAGCACACTGTGCTTTAACGCTAATAGAACCTCTAAGGTATGTCAATAGTTCTTCAAAGTAGGTCAATAAAACCCCCAGGGAAGGTCTATAGAGCCTCCAAGGTAGATCAATAATACCACCAAGACCAATAGAACGCCAAGGGAATGTCAATAGAATGTTCAAAGAAGGTCAATAGAACCTCCAAGGCAGATGCAAGGTAGGTCAACAGAACCTCCAGGGAAGGTTAATAGAATGTTCAAGGAAGGTGAATAGAACCCCCAAGGAAGGTCAATAGAACCTTCAAGGTTGGTCGTTAGAACCTGGAAGTTAGGTCAATAGAACATCCAAGGTAGGTCAATAAGCATTCAAGGCAGACCAAAAAGGACCTCAATAGAACTTCCTAGGAAACAAACAGAATATGTGTTTGCGATTTTTAAATTTCGACTTATTTTTTATATCATATTTTCAGCCTAAGAATGTAAAATCAAGTTGGTTTTGGGAAACTTTAGTTGGTTATCACATTTTTCAATTTTTCTATTGGCTAGGGTAGGTGATTTCAACTATTTATAATTTTGCTGAAATTTAAGAAAATCTATTGGACACAAAAACTATGGTCTTTTACTTATGATAAAAATTATTTTGTACTCTAATTAACTACATATCGTATGCCAACTTTATGACAATTATTTGTCCGTATGACGGTATAAAACCTGATTCTTTCTTTTCTACTATACGTGTAAATTTTGAATAACGCCTCATGAACTTGGTATAATGGTTGCAGAAACCTATTATTGTGTCATGCATACAATCTGACAGCTATAACAAAAAGGAAACTTTCATGGCATAGGCTTCTGTAGCGGGTGAAGATTACAAATCTCCCAAAGTCCTTTTGTCACTTATTTCGGTTTATGGTATAATTTCTTTTCAGTGCCTTTATAACTGCCTTAGTACCTGTAGTAAATCGATTGTTGTACAGGGTGATATACGCACACAAGTCAGAAAAAGTCGATAGATCTGATCATATATTTAATTTTAATTGTTTATTTAAACAGTATGTTTCAGAATGGTCCATACCAAGGTAAGAAAGCTATAGGCCTGCTTAGGCTTTGGATCAGTTAATTCAAGAGGCGCTTGGTTTTTTATCTGAAAGTCGGGCCGATTTTATTTACGATCGGCTCTCTGGCGACCTATTACAGTTCGTTTTTAGCACTAGAATCTCAAATTGCGCTGGTAGGTGACTTACCCTGACTTGAACAGGATTCCTGTATACTCCGTTAAATCATTTAAACGAAGCCTCTTAAAGGGACAGGTAGGCCATTGTTTTCACCAATCATACTTTAGTCTCAGATACGGGAAAGTCTAAGTCAATCAGTTATAGTGTTCAAAGCTCAGCTCAAAAGACATATGAAGGAAAAGTGAATAAAATTCCTAGTTTGAAGTAGTTTTACAGGAATTATGCGATTTTCATACATTTCTAGTACTTCTGAAGACTTTTATACATATATTCAAGATTAAAATCAACCCGACAAAATGGCGCATCTGTCCCTTTAATTTTGTTTCCTTTAAATTTAGAGAGAAGACATCTTACGTTTTAAAAGAAATTCAGAAATGGATTATAGACAACAATTTCCCTGCTCATGTTCCAATAGAAGTGAGATTTGTGAAAGGGGATGATCTTTATTTAAGCCCAGCTTATGGATGGAAGGATACATGTTACATCAATATAATTATGTATACGTATGTAGTTTTAGAATATTTTATACTTATTTCAATTTAAAAATTGAGAGATAGCATTCCACTAAACTTCTTCCATAACGTTTTTAGTCTTATGGTTTATCAGTTCATTGTTTATCGGCAGTAAGGAAATTTTAGTCTCCAAGCCGGCAGATTTAAAAAAAAAAAATACTGACTAGGCGATACCATCTTGCTGCCGACTGCAAGTTAAAACGATTCTGGGCATTTGAATAAGGAATAATTTTCTTTCTGTTTCAGACCTTTTAATAAGATTGTACCACGAGAGAAATATTGGAAAGCCTTTGAAAAAATTATGTCCGATGTTGGTGGACGACCTCATTGGGCAAAGGTAAGCTTTCGCTGCAATGTATTTTTCTGTAGTAGCAAGTAACTTTTATGAATATTGAACATAAGAATGTTGTTTATGGACATAATCTTTATCTGTTTTTAAAGAAATTTTGTCTGCAACCGTAGGAGTAAAGGTATTTAAGGCAAACTGTTACTTAAATAAATGGGATATCTGTATGAGAATTACACTTCTACTCCTATATACAAAATACTCCACATGATATGATACTCCACATATATATGACCATGGCACGGAAGATGTTGGACTTGAGCAAGCCGAGTATTATATTCCATAGCAACGATGTACGATGTTAATCTCATCTATGTGAGATCTATGTAAAACGTTGTTAAAAAAGGTTGTCGAATTATATGCTGTTGCCATTCCATGCCATTTATACAGTAAACAGGTATATGGTAGGAGATGTCATTGTATTTCATTTTCTAGGATCATAAATATGGACGAGAGGAGTTTCAGAACCTGTACCCTCAGTTTGATACCTTCTGTAAAATCAGAGAACGTCTGGATCCTAATGGAATGTTCCTGAACTCCAACCTGGAACGAGTCTTTGGGAACAGTTCGAATTCCATCTTTAAAGTGTGATAATGATAATGAACACTGGATCAAATGACACATATACTAATGATTGCATTTTACCATAGCTGTAGACCTACTATTACTTATTTTTCAAAATCTTGCATATGTTTTCAAAAGTGATATGGTCTAATTACGGGTAGACCTTAGAATTTGGTACAAACAGTTCTGTTCAATATTGTTTTCTGTAATATTTGGCACTATATAGTATGTTGTTATTTCTTCATATTGAAGAACTGTAAGATAAATCATTACTTTTTTTTTTTTTTATTAAACTAACTCTTGTTTTAAATTCGTTATATGTTGATCTGGGCTTCACCGTATTTTGTACTTGCATCCTGTTTACACAGAATAGGGATTTTCAAAAATCAACGACCTCCTCAGTTTCCCCAGAAGCAAAGTTATCGTTCAACGCACGTTTAAGGATTAACCAAAGTTAGTAGCGAATCATGTCTACGACCTGTACATTCTATAACAAATGCAATACTCACAATTCAGTCCAGCTATCAACCTTTCCGACGGTCCAAGAGCGACGGTTTTGAACCAATACCACGATAGAGACCTTTATATAGATAAACATATCGAGGTACCAGGCCATTGTCCATTATTCAAGATTTCGGTTCATTCGCCCAACTGATCAACCAAGCGATGTCAAATACTGGCTTTATCTAAGACAATTGTACATCTGGGGTAAATAATTATTGTTTGCACTCTTTTTGTAAGGTGACGGCGCGCCCATACAATCTGGGACACCATTATAGATTCCAAAAACGAACCGTCTAGCATAGCCGAAGAGTAAAAATAAATTCTGAATGCTGAATATTTTAATAATATATCCTAGATAATATTTCAAATTATAAAATTATCATAATAAACGGAAACATATAAGAAAAAATAAAAACAGTACATTGCTAATGACTCGAGATATATACAAACTGGGAAAAACAAACTGCTCTCCGACTATTTTGAACTCAGAATTGAATTCTTTGTGTCAATTCACAAACAATGTCTTAGAATGTCTTTGGATCCTTGAAAATATAAGGTTTGTCGATTGACATTGTAAATATTCATATTTCCACTCATAGGAATTTCCCACATTTTGGACTGAAAAATCTGGCCTAGGCCTAATTTTTAAACAGTGATTATTTCCACTATTCCAAGGACAATTCGAGACTTTCAGTAAAATTTGGAGGTTGATAATTACACGACAAGATTGGCAAATTCCATTCTGTAAACATTTTGGTCGGAAAGTGAGTACATGTATATACAAGTGATATACAATTTGATTACGAAGTTACCAATGCTTAGGATATGAGTAGGGTAACAATCTGTTTGCTATAGTTGATCCGACTTATGTTTGTTGATTGTGATGATACATGAGTAAATAAGAGCTATGTACAAGGAAGGAAAAACACATGACATGGCACATAAAGACCAGTCTTTCTTAGAAGTTAAAGCTTACAAATCTAAGTAGGAGGAAGTTACATAATGTCATTAAATACATATATTGTATCAGATTGTACTAATAGCACTGGAGAAGTTTTTCCATGAACAAACCTAGAATGAATCAATGTTTAGCAGACGTATATTTGAAATGGGTTGTTTCCCTTGAAATAATTTTGCAAAATCGTTTCTACTATTAATGGTTTTCCAAAAAGGATGACCATGTTACAATGGTTACAATGTCACCATATTTGTATATAATGGTAGGTACGATAGTGATATCATAATCTGGTCAGCAGGAAATCGACACAGTGCATAATACAATCTATAACTGTCCCTAATAGGGCCTACACATAAATAGGCTACAACATATCCAGTCAAAAGAACTAGAAGGTCATACTCATGACTGACTTTGTTCTTCAAACTCTATATTGAAAAAAAAAAACGGTTTTTGGTCAAAACTACATCTTATGACCTTAAAGTTCTATGATATTGAATGTCATAAATGAATGAAGGATCACCACACTACATATAAAGAAATATATTTCAGACTTAGTTTAGCATATCCTTCTTCTATTAATCTTTGTCAAAATTGTGACATGCTTATCATTGTGTTATATAATCGTATGCACTAAACCTGATTCTCAAGCTCAAACCTCAATACAAGTTGATCAAGAAAATTTCATAATTTTACCCTTCATGTATGATAATTAAACAAAATGAAAACAAAATGTGATAATAAAAGCCATTTTAAGAAAAGTACATGAACTTTACAACATTGCCATTCAACTTGTTGATATTTTTCTTTTATTTTCCTGGAAGAAGTAAACAAAAAATGAAATGAATTATTACAGGGATGTATCTGTATAATCCAACATCAGCATTTTATAAAGTAGAAAACCTAATATACAATAACCAACTAGGTTTGATATTGTGTTTGTCCACATAGCACTACATAGCAAATATTAGGACATAAAGAAAAAAAAACAGCATCTCATATAACTTTCATGCCAAATATTTTTAGCATTAAACAATTCTATACATTATTTGAAAAAAAAGAACCCATCTTTAAATCAATTGGAACGGGGGAAAACATATCTTTAAAACTCACCAATCTCCAATTGATAACTTTGATCCATTCATCCATATCTTGTTCTGTGGCAGCAAATAAATAAAATGTCCTCCATGGAAACTTTAACCTGTCAAAAATACAAGTTTTTCAGTCAAATGGACATTAATGGACATACTTGTTAAATTTGTAGCTTTTTTCACAATCCAACATCCACGACTCTGTCTAACATATAGCCTGAAGATGTGGTTTTCAAATTGCAAAAATTTAATGCTCCATGTGACATCATTAGGTATCTTAACATTAATGACAGTATCTATTACCTGAATAAATTTAATTTATCTTTATGTGTAGAGTCTTCACAGCATTCAATACATTCATTTAAATCTAACACTCTTATTGGCTTATGGTCAGTTTTACTTTTAAAATATTTCAATTCATTTCTCTGTAATACAAACCATCTATGGCGCCATGTCTAAAATGAAAAGAAACTGAAATAAAACTAATTTGAATGAAATGAAATTGAAATAAAACTAACTTAAATGAAATAAATGAAACTTGAAAAGCTATGATAAAAGAAAAAAATAACAAATCATGATGATCCTTTCTACCAGCTGATCCTTGGCCAGTCCTCTTGACATTGATCTTTCCTCAATTATCTGTACCTATTTACAGCTGGGTATAATTGAATGAGCAAGATACTCGAATAATGATGACAGATGCCTTTATTCCAAGTTCACAGACTTTTAGTTAGGACCAATTGTTTAACGTAACCAAGCATATTATACCCTGTCTTTTAGAGTCTTGAGGAAGACATTCAGATGAAGCTGATTTTCCAATTAATGGTACAAGTGTGCCATTTTGGGGGGTTGATTTTTGTTCAGAAGTACCAGAAATGTACAAAAATCACTTAATTCTTTAAAAATACTCATTGTTTTTTTTACATACAGGCTCTTTTACATTTACTAATTATGATTAAAATCTTTTTTACCATATCATTGACCATAAAAAATTATTTATCAAGGTGTAAATCTATTCTGAATATTGAAATATACCTGAGATATATTTTTTAACTACTTACAAAGCAAATAATTGCCATTGATATGGTGACAACAGATGCTAGAATTTACTGACAAACAAGAGCTAGTATAGCTGTCAATTTATTTTTCAATTTTCTTAGGGTGTGTCTTATTTGATTTTAAAATTAGTAATTGAATATCATATTTATTCAATAATATATTTCACATGTTCTTATCTACTTTCAAGATCAAATGCCATTGCAAGTTCTGCTATTGAGAGTCAGTTTAGTTTTCACAACTGCGATTGTTTTCATGATGATCAGAGTTGTTCCCATGATTCTCATTCTTCAAATAAATCTCAATTTAATACAGTGATAATTATAAGAAATGTACTAAAAATGGTTCTACACAGAAATGGTTACTCAAATTGATCATGTTTTTATATTTCATTCTTTAACACTTACCTTAAAAATATCACCAATTTTAGTTAAATAACCTTCTTTAGAATTAATCTACAACAAAACAAGTATAGAATACGGTACATATCAATTACAAATTATATGAAAAAGATGGTATAACCAAAAAAAGTATAAATTTCATTGAATCTGTCAAAAATATAGTTTGCTCTGTTGACTCTCAAAATAGAACTTTATTAGAACCAATTAGGGGAAAATTTATATTTAAATTGTAGCTATACCCAATCTTTGCAGGAAATTATTCAAGCTCTTGAATAAGATTTAATGGAAATTCCCTCATATTGTGATAAGTATTAATAACTTACAGAGAATTCTTGTTGATGTGTATTTTTTCCCGAATTAAATTCAGCATGAACTGTGACTGACTCATAACACTGAGGTTCCTCTATATTGCTAGGATATGGTGTTCGTAATAACACTAACTGACCTAGATTTAAACAATTCTAAATATTCATAACAATTCATGGAAATGAGACAAAGTCCACAACTAATATTTCAAGTTGCACTTGTTTCTGTGTGACTACATTGGTTCAAGTTCGAAATTCATAACAACTAGTTTGTAAGGTCATTAAGTTTAGAGGGAGTTCAGCGAGTTAGTGCTCACTCCTTAACATGAAGGGGCTGACATGCTAACTGTTGTCCAGATATGACAATAAACTGAGGTCCCATGATCTATACAGGATGTGCACTTTAAGGATTCCTCGACAGTTGGAAATAAAAAACAGTAGCCACTGTCCTGGCAAAATTTCACCTCGCTGTAAACTATATGGCATTATGTGTCTTTATTAGCCCACATGGTGCAAAAACTCCATTTATTTCATTTCATTAAGTTAGACATTCTTATCATAATACCTGACCTGGGTTTATCATTTATTGTGAAATTAGATTTTAAGTAGAGTTGACAATCCACAATGTTTTGATGGATGCCTTAGTAGGTTTAATTGAGGTCATTTTACAAAAGCTTATAGAGATTGAGGTTTTTTCTCAATTTTTAGCAGGGACAGAATGGATTTGGACCATACCTTTTTTCAGCTAGACCTCTATGGGTTTAGCAATTACACCTAAACTAAACTTTAATGACATCACTATCTCAAAAGCACAGACATCTGATAAGAAAATTAGAAAGATGCAAAAAGAAGCCAAAAATGCCCTAATCGACTGAAAACATCTATCAAACTCTTTTCTTCCCTAAATGATACGGATTCAGAGATCACTTTTCATAATGGAAGTTCCAAGAACTGTTCATCTACAACGAGGCGGAATTTCTTACCAGATTCTCCACCTATTAATGGCTGATTTTCAAAATGTTCCACTAATTCATCAATATTACCAAATGTACCATGTCCAAAAACATACTGAGTTCCACTATAGGTTATATGAAAATGTTTCACTGAATTTTCACATCTAAAAACACAAATACTTGTCATTACAATGAGTAGGCAGGATTCCACCACCGACAACTATCATTGTACCTAGTATAGTACTCTGTAGCCATGACAATTGGTCTGGATGTGGCTTAAATAAAGCATCACCTCTTAGTATTCCAATGATAGCAGTTATATACTCAAAAAGTACCATCTATTTTTTACAAACTGTAAATAAGGACTTTTGTATTTAATTTTACAAAAAAAATGAGCATAGCTATTTGCATATGAGCAAGATTATTTAGTAATTTGATCAAGTTTAATTTTTATTGTCTCTTCTTTTTTTAATTGTATTTCTGAAAACAGTTACAAATCATTGAAACTATAAAATGTTTCTGTTTCCTGTAAAATGAAGGTAAAGACAATATGTAGTTGACTAAAAACTCTTTAAAATTAAACCAACCTGACTGATATTGCACACTCTCCTGCTGTGGAACTAGGTCGTAGTAAATATGTTCCTTCTTTAGCATTCTGCATCAATAAACTTTCTGCAGTATGGCGGTTCATACCAGGATGAAACCAGCTAGAAAATAAGGATTTATCGAAGGTTTCTGAAATTGTTAATTCTGATTACCTACAACAACATGATCTAATGTTCAATTATTTATTCCAGAATTCAGAAAAATGTACCGTCGTAAAAGTATGTTAATTTGTTCATGAAAGTTTAGCATCTTGATAGTTTCACTGTAAATATGTTAAGAGTATTTCATCTTTTTAATGTTTTTATTTTTTCAATCTATTTGTATCAGTCTCTTAAATATTCTACTTTTCCATCCAATATTTATTAAATTATAGCCATTTAATTACTAAGATTTCACTTACCAAATTAAAACTCATAGCACAATTAAATATAAAAGCTAGAATTATTTACTTTCCTCAGAAAAGGTTTATGGAATATATTCTGATCTAAAAGACTACTTTTGGGATTTATAGTGAAAAGGAAATGTTATTGTAGACTGATATTCTTTGGTATTATGGTTTAGATTAAGCATTTAATGTACAATTTGACCTGATATGGAGCTTGTGAGAGGACCATGGCATATCATGTTCAATAAAGTTTTTATCCTTTTTTCTCATTATAGTTTTAGTACTTCATTTTATATGGAACCTACATAAAAATTTGAGTTTCAACTAAAAGTGCACTTGGATTCAGGGATGACTTTTACCCATGAACAAAATTTACTAGAATTCTGTTTAGATAGAAACATTATCATAATTGTTTATTGCCCTTGTCTTCCAATGTTTCTGACAGAAAACAAAGAAAGTCCTTTCCAAAGCAATCATGTCATTTCATAAGAATCAAATTGAAGGCAGTGACACTTTAACTATAAATTAATAAAGGTTCATTTCAGTTAATCTAATACAGAAAAAAATAAACAAAAAAATAAACAAAAAAATAAATCAAATCAGTGTGCCATATGTGCACCAATATCCTTTGAAAAGAAATCAAAGTCTCCTTTTAAACATATGGTATTGACAATCTATAGCCAAGTTAGTTGATATACGAATTACTTGAAAGAATTTAGAACAATTAAATTGTGGACGACTTGTTATTGACAAACCATTACGTGTGTCGTTTGATTATACATAAGAATGTCAGGTAGCACGTTTTATCGAAATAGCAGTAAATATGGAAACATATGTCTGCTTAGATCTCGAAAATTACAGAGCATTAATAAATCTTTGATCATTTTTCATACTTTGAAGATCTAAGTACATATACATTAAAAATCGAAATTAATCTTTCTTCTAAATCTCAAATCTTGTAATCTTTCTTCTTAAACTTAAATTTCAAATTTTGCTTCTAAATCTCAAACAGTAATCTTTCTTCTAAATCTCAAGCAGTAATCTTTCTTCTAAATCTCAAGCAGTAATCTTTCTTCTAAATCTCAAACAGTAATCTTTCTTCTAAATCTCAAGCAGTAATCTTTCTTCTAAATCTCAAATCTTGTAATCTTTCTTCTTAAACTTAAATTTCAAATTTTGCTTCTAAATCTCAAACAGTAATCTTTCTTCTAAATCTCAAGCAGTAATCTTTCTTCTAAATCTCAAGCAGTAATCTTTCTTCTAAATCTCAAACAGTAATCTTTCTTCTAAATCTCAAGCAGTAATCTTTCTTCTAAATCTCAAGCAGTAATCTTTCTTCTAAATCTCAAGCAGTAATCTTTCTTCTAAATCTCAAACAGTAATCTTTCTTCTAAATCTCAAATCTTGTAATCTTTCTTCTTAAACTTAAATTTCAAATTTTGCTTCTAAATCTCAAACAGTAATCTTTCTTCTAAATCTCAAGCAGTAATTTTTCTTCTAAATCTCAAGCAGTAATCTTTCTTCTAAATCTCAAACAGTAATCTTTCTTCTAAATCTCAAGCAGTAATCTTTCTTCTAAATCTCAAGCAGTAATCTTTCTTCTAAATCTCAAGCAGTAATCTTTCTTCTAAATCTCAAACAGTAATCTTTCTTCTAAATCTCAAAATTTAACCTTTCTTGTGAATCTCAAATCTTGTAAGTTTTCTTTGAAATCTCAAATCTTTCTTCTAAATTTTAAACTTTGTAATCTTCCTTGTAAATATCAAATAAATTTCAATTCATAAAACAACCAGTATTCTTCTCAATTTCTGTTTCTCATATTAACATTTTTAGTGTCTGGCCTAATATTTTAAGAAATCCTGCTCACTTTTAACAGAAGAAACATAACAGAAAAATGACCAGTTTAACATACCATACTATGTTAAGCAATATTCAGTCCAAAAGCAAATGATTTCGTTTTTTTAGCAACTTAGGAGCTGCCACATTTCTATGACAAAAGGATATAGCCTTCATCGCGTTAATAAGCCAAGTCAAGGGCAGTAACTCAAATTCCATTGATCGAAAAATCGTCAAAATCAATCTTGACTAAGATGTCTTCATTATAAATGATAACATCAATTTTCGGACACACCGCCAGACAGATGGATGGACAGACAGGGGCGACGACAATATACGACCACATTATAATGTATATCCTTCTTTATACATTATCAGAATAATAGGTCTGTAAATGATGCAAAGAAATCGATTTATATCTCAATTTAATAATTTTAATAATCTTTTGATATTAACTAAAATGGTTTGAGGAAAAAATATCAGTTATATAGGATGTTGGGTAAATTTCATTGTTAGAACTTGAATCATGTTGTTACTCAGAGTTTCAACTCTGATTCAAGTTTTTTTTTAATATTTCCATATCGCTCTACAATGGATGTATTGAGCAATATCTTAACAGTATAAATATTTTTCTATTGAAGTTAATTGTTATTCAAATCAGCCAAAACAAAAGCTAATTAGCTTATTTTGGAATATTTTCGAAAATTTATTAAGCTATTTCTATACCTCTAAGAATTAAAATTTCTTGAACATCTAATAAAAAGTCATAAAAACTTACTTTAATTTTTCCAGTTTATCCACCATTTTTATTTTGGATTCATTAGAATAGTTTTAAAGGTTTTCGGACCTGGAATTATAACACAACATTTGTATGAAAAATATCAATTGAGTGGCAATCCTGAAAAGTAGTGTAGGATGGCCTTTGATGAATAATTTTGATTCATTCAAAACAAATATGTCCTAATTGGACTTTTAATTATCTGCTGACAAACAACCTTGGAGATTAGATAGCAATAATAGTTTTTGTTTATCTGCAGTTATAAAGTCTAAAAATCCAAAAGAGTACTGCATCTTTGTCTATTGTCTGTTTTTCTTTGCACTCTTGTCTACAAATCAAGTTTCACTGATAATTTTAAAGTGAATATGAATATTTTTAGACTGATAGCAGCCCTGTCGTTAGGGTGAGGTCCATGTTGACTAGGCTCCAACAAGTGAGAATTAAGCCCCAGCAAAACCTTCTTCAGTTCAGCACAGATTGATTCATTTACAGTTTCTGTGTACAAAATCAGAAAGATATAGATTTTGATTCATTTTTGGCACCTCAAAACTGTCAGAAATGAGTTCTCTGGGCTTTTAATTCTTCAAATTTTCTGAGTACAAATATTTTAGCCCCAGCACCATTTCATTTTGTGGCGACGGGGCTTAGTCTGAATGATAGTCTTACAATAATCTTGCATTGATGAAAATAAAAGGGTTGTAAGTTAACATGTAATACAAATACACTTCCATCCAAAATTTGAAAAAAATGTGTCCCAAAATTTCTCTGAAAGAAAAAAACATTCAAAAATAATAATATGTGCCTATGTTATGTATATTAATCAACACAATGAAAATTCTAAGACTTTTGATGCTTAAATTCTAGTTCACATAAAAATAAGCAGCAAAGTTTTATTTACCAACAAATGTGCATGGACACTTACTAACTAAGAGGGTGCCATTTCCCAGACATTTTACAACTATAGACCTTCCAAAGCTTACTTCATGGAGCACAAACCAACAGACAAACCTCCTCCATACACTTAGGCCTACCCCAGGCTGATCTATCTCATACACTCTCTCATGTGAAGACTGTGGTCCTGTCACATCCTCATTTGATCAGTTAATTTACAAAATACACTAACCCTACTTTTCTAACAACAATATAGCATAAGAGTATAACACATTAAAGGATGGGCCATCATATGACACATGGTAAGTACATAATTATTGTATTATACATATCATAGTATAAAATTGTTATACCAAAATCGTCCATAACAATATATTGACTTGTTGTCCTGAAACCTTCCTAATAAAATATGGGCCTACTTACCTACAAATAGATAAAATGATAACTTTAGAGTAAAATCAATAAACATGATATCTAAACATGTCTTCGATCATCAAATAAAGTCAAATTTTGACAGCTTTAATCACTTCTTCCGTATCGAAAGTTTCAGTGTACAGCCCAAAGCTATCCAACCAAATTCATGTCACCTATTTATGATACTATAAATAGACTTGTATAGATTCGTCTGCTCAAGCTGATTGAATTTGTATCTTCTGATTAAAAATGTGTGGATTAGGAATTAGGAATTATTGGGTGTAAAATTACTGTAGGCCTACAGCAAACTTTTAAGCAAATGCACAGGCAAGCTCAAAGTCGAATTTTGATTAGGCCACCACCACAGCCTTTGTTTCAAGGCTAGAGATCCGCCGTGGTACTAGCTAACAAGATTTCCGCATTAATTAATTGTATGGCATGTTTGCATTTTAGGGATGAACATGCCATTGACATATTTTGACTTGTATATACATTTCGGTTTACACAACAACAAAGAAAGGGACAACATCTGCATATTCAATTTCAGTTGTTCCTCTTAGAAACAACTTGTCACTTTCAGCATTTAAGATACTGTCTAGTTGGTGATACTTCTGTTAGTCTCAGTCCTCCAACACCACTCAACAGCACGATCATATCAATGAACTTGAAGATATAGTATGGCAGTAGAGACCAGTTGGGCTTGAAATATCAAAACCTCCTTTAAATAACATTCTGACCTCTTGAGAATTGGTAACAAATCGGTCGCACATCATTTGTCGTGATGGGAGGCCTATGC